TGTTGTAACAACCACCCCACACACTTTACGTTATAACAACTCCATCTCTCGCACCTATAAGTAGTATGACAACCTCAGCTCAAATACCTGTACGTTGTTGTAACAACCACCCCACACACTTTACGTTATAACAACTCCATCTCACGCACCTATAAGTAGTATGGCAACCTCAGCTCAAATACCTGTACGTTGTTGTAACAACCACCCCACACACTTTACGTTGTTGTAACAACCTCACCTCACCCACTATAAGTTGTTGTAACGATCTCACCTCACACACTATACGCTGATGTAACAAACTGATCTCATATTGTTTACGTTGTTCAACAACCTGACCTCACACACTGTTCGTTGTTGTAACAACCGAACCACACACACTATACGTTGTAACAACTCCATCTCACGCACCTATAAGTAGTGTGACAACCTCAGCTCAAATACCTGTACGTTGTTGTAACAACCACCCCACACACTTTACGTTATAACAACTCCATCTCACGCACCTATAAGTAGTATGACAACCTCAGCTCAAAAACCTGTACGTTGTTGTAGCAACCTGACCTCACACTTCCTACGTTTTTCTAAAAACCTGTCTCACAGTCTTTATGCTGTTATAACAACCTCACCTCACACACTTTACGTTTTGGTAGAAACGTCACCTCACACATTTTACGTTTTTGTAAAAACCTGACCACACACACACTTTACGTTGTAACAACCTCACATCAAGCACCTGGTATGTAGTTCTGAAAACCTCAGCTCACATACCTGTATGTTGTTGTAACACACTTTACAGTGCAACAGTCTCATCTCACACACCGATACGTTGTTGTAACAACCTGACACACATGTTATTGTTGCAACAATAATTACTTCCACATATTAATAGTAAGATCTGAGTTAGCTAACAAATATGAGGAGCACACACAATCAACACAGTTAATAGATGTCAAGAAAATACAAAGTTAACAGACACCTGGGATATACAGAGGTAACGGTTCTCTAAAGAATACAAAGTTAACAGTTGTCTAAGAAATACAGAGTTAACAGTTGTACGGGAAATACCGAGTTAACAGCTGCCTGAGGGAGTTAACTGTACGGGAAGTACAGAGTTAACAGTTACCTGTGAGTTACAAAGTTAATGCTTCTCTATGAAATACAAAATTAACAGTTGTCCGGAAAATGAAGAGTGCACTGTAGAAGGTGGCCGCCTGTGAAGTTGAATATTGCTGGCTAGAGTGCTAAACTGGCAGCTTTGACATAAGCATTCCTAGCTTCAATCCCGTCTCGGTTCATTAACTCAAGCACAACTTTTGATCTTTCTCCACAGCAACGATCACAGAGAACTAATACAGTATCCGCTCTGTTTTATGTAGGCACATAGAATCTATTCCCCCTTCAAGTCCCTCTCATCATCTCTCCCTTTCTGGCAGACAGACAGATAAGATAGACAGACAGACAGAACGAACGAACGCACTTTATTTGTAAAGGGCTACAAATTGGGCACACAGGCCTGACTTATATTCGGCCCATGCAAACAATCATTTATACGACAAAAATGTATGTTATCAAGAAAGCAAGCTAAGTTAATTACAAAAATATAATGAAAATAAAGTTCAAACAAAATATCAACGAATGAATGGTAAATGAATGCATTAAAAATGACAGACAGATTGACAGACTGATGGACGTACAGATACACAGTAGACAAACACAGACGGATAGCTAGATTAGATCAAAAAGACAAATAAGATAGATAGGATTTGAAAGAGGTACAGACAGACAGACGGACGGACGGACGGACGGACGGACGGACAGGGAGATTAGATAGATAGATAGATAGATAGATAGATAGATAGATAGATAGATAGATAGATAGATAGATAGATAGATAGATAGATAGATAGATAGATAGATAGATAGATAGATAGATAGATAGATAGATAGATAGATAGATAGATAGATAGATAGATAGATAGATAGATAGATAGATAGATAGATAGATAGATAGATAGATAGATAGATAGATAGATAGATAGATAGATAGATAGATAGATAGATAGATAGATAGATAGATAGATAGATAGATAGATAGATAGATAGATAGATAGATAGATAGATAGATAGATAGATAGATAGATAGATAGATAGATAGATAGATAGATAGATAGATAGATAGATAGATAGATAGATAGATAGATAGATAGATAGATAGATAGATAGATAGATAGATAGATAGATAGATAGATAGATAGATAGATAGATAGATAGATAGATAGATAGATAGATAGATAGATAGATAGATAGATAGATAGATAGATAGATAGATAGATAGATAGATAGATAGATAGATAGATAGATAGATAGATAGATAGATAGATAGATAGATAGATAGATAGATAGATTAGAAACATAGATAGATAGATAGATAGATAGATAGATAGATAGATAGATAGATAGATAGATAGATAGATAGATAGATAGATAGATAGATAGATAGATAGATTAGAAACAAAGATAGATAGATAGATTAGAAACATAGATAGATAGATTAGAAAGATAGATATATAGCGATGCGTCATTTTAGCAGGGAGAAAAACGAAGAAAACAATGACAGCTTATTGTAACAAAGCTAGTCCTGAAATAGCCAGGACAGCTTTATAAGCACACGTGCAGGCTGTGATAAAATATGGAATCTGCGGTGATTGGGAAAACAGGCCAACTGTTGCTAGATTGAAGATACGGCGTTCAACATCATTTAGCTGATCTGGGATAAGAATGAGACAGGGAGGGGTGGAATTTGTTGTGAAGGAGAGCGTGTGGTGGCAGGATAAGGTGTGGTGGCAGTAGAAGGTGTGGTGGCAGTAGAAGGTGTGGTGGCAGTAGAAGGTGTGGTGGCAGTAGAAGGTGTGGTGGCAGTAGAAGGCGTGGTGGCAGTAGAAGGTATGGTGGCAGTAGAAGGTGTGGTGGCAGTAGAAGGTGTGGTGGCAGTAGAAGGTGTGGTGGCAGTAGAAGGTGTGGTGGCAGTAGAAGGTGTGGTGGCAGTAGAAGGTGTGGTGGCAGTAGAAGGTATGGTGGCAGTAGAAGGTGTGGTGGCAGTAGAAGGTGTGGTGGCAGTAGAAGGTGTGGTGGCAGTAGAAGGTGTGGTGGCAGTAGAAGGTGTGGTGGCAGTAGAAGGTGTGGTGGCAGTAGAAGGTGTGGTGGCAGTAGAAGGAGTGGTGGCAGCAGAAGGTGTGGTGGCAGTAGAAGGCGTGGTGGCAGTAGAAGGTGTGGTGGCAGTAGAAGGTGTAGTGGCAGTAGAAGGTGTGGTGGCAGTAGAAGGTATGGTGGCAGTAGAAGGTGTGGTGGCAGTAGAAGGTGTGGTGGCAGTAGAAGGTGTGGTGACAGGAGATTTGTGTTGTGGCAGGAGAATATATGGTGACAGGAGAATGTGTTGTGGCAGGAAAATGTGTGGTGACAGGAGAATGTGTGGTGGTCGGAGAATGTGTGGTGACAGGAGAATGTGTTGTGGCAGGAGAATGTGTGGTGACAGGTGAATGTGTGATGACAGGAGAATGTATGGTGACATGAGAATGTATGGTGGCAGGAGAATGTGTGATGACAGGAGAATGTGGGTTGACAGGAGAATGTGTGGTGGCAGGAGAATGTGTGGTGACAGGAGAATGTGGGTTGACAGGAGAATGTGTGATGACAGGAGAATGTGGTGTGGCAGGAGAATGTGTGGTGACAGGAGAATGTGTTGTGGCAGGAGAATGTGTGGTGACAGGAGAATGTGTGATGACAGTAGAATGTGTGTTGACAGGAGAATGTGTGATGACAGGAGAATGTGTGATGACAGTAGAATGTGTGGTGACAGGAGAATGTGTGATGACAGGAGAATGTGTGGAGACAGGAGAATGTGTGATGACAGGAGAATGTGTGGAGACAGTAGAATGTGTGATGACAGGAGAATGTGTGGAGACAGTAGAATGTGTGATGACAGGAGAATGTGTGGAGACAGCAGAATGTGTAATGACAGGAGAATGTGTGGAGACAGGAGAATGTGTGATGACAGGAGAATGTGTGATGACAGTAGAATGTGTGGTGACAGGAGAATGTGTGGTGACAGTAGAATGTGTGGTGACAGTAGAATGGGTGGTGACAGGAGAATGTGTGGTGACAGTAGAATGTGTGATGACAGTAGAATGTGTGGCGACAGAATAGTTTCCCTACAGAAAATTATCCACTGTGTGTCTATGACAACTGTCCAGTGATGTCTGAAATTACTGTCCATGCACCACAGTAGTCTTGTGTCTATGACAACTGTCCAGTGATGTCTGAAATTACTGTCCATGCACCAAAGTAGTCTTGTGTCTATGAAAACTGTCCAGTGATGTCTGAAATTACTGTCCATGCACCAAAGTTCTCTTGTGTCTATGACAACTGTCCAGTGATGTCTGAAATTACTGGCCAGGCACCAAAGTAGTCTTGTGTCTATGACAACTGTCCAGTGATGTCTGAAATTACTGGCCAGGCACCAAAGTAGTCTTGTGTCTATGACAATGTGATCCGATGTTGTTGATGTCCAGGAGAGAAAATTATCAACTGTGTATAAAATTACCGTCGAGAAGGAAAATTACTTAACCTGAACATACTCTGATACTTTCAACACACTATAATTGTTATCAATAATTCTCCGTGCCCGCCCAAACAACAGGTGCGTACAGGATGTGCAGTTTTTCGGTTTCTTAATGTCGAAAATAATTTGTGTATTCGGTAACAAGAGCGTTTTTTTTTTATGGTAGCAATTGTTGTTATAATTAGTTTCGTTAGTGACAAGAGTAATTATGTTCGTTATTTAAAAAAATCCACTGGGTTCGTTAGTAATGAAATGCATCTATTGTGTTATTATCTGGAATAATTACCTAGGTTTGCTTGCAGTACAGTTTTACGTCCGGTAACAAAATGGTTGTCTCTGTGACTAGACCATGCGCATGCGCAGTATCATCATGCACACCTACTTGTTGTGTTGCTACCGGAAGCTCCCGGTGTCTGACAGGACCAGTCACCTTGGCATCTGATGGCTGCCAGTGCTTTAGTCTTCTTGGGACGACGGGAGGTCCAGGTTCGGTGATCAGTCTCTCTACAGTGTATGGCGTGGCTCCAGATGCTGGTGGCGGGATGAAGGTTTCCGACAGTCTCCGCTTGGTCAGCGACTCCTCGACGATAAACTGGGTTGTCTTGGGTCCGGCTACTGGCGATGTCTCTTGTCGATCCCCGGCTTCCATGACTGGCCTGGCTAGGTCATAATCAGACCCTAGCCTGGGCGTGGCTGTATCCCTGAAGGCTACATGCCTGACGTACCCAGGGCTAGCCAAGTTGACTTCTTTGATACCTCTGAGCTGATATGTGCTGTCTCCGCGATTCTGGTTACTCTGGGAGTCTCTGTTTATGATTGGTATGTATGCGTTCTTTGGTAGAGTTCTGGCTTTATTTGTGTCATAAATAGAAGACGTTTCATTCTGTGACTCTCCACTCAAAGAAAACCTGTCACGTGCTTTATAGTTGAACCTGTTGTCGTAAACTGGGTGGCCTAAACTGTGAGAGTAAGCTGCACTGACAGGGTGGGATTGGTGAGAGTTCGGTTCTGTGCGAGCTGCAATCGTTGTTTTATCAGGAAATCCATTTTGGAATGGCCAGGGTGGTTCCAGGTTTTGCCGAAGAGGTGGGTGAGGATATTGACGTGTCTGCTGTTGTTGCTGTTGCTGCTGCTGTTTGCTCGTATGTTGCTGGTAATACTGCTCTGGATACCTCAAAGACCTAAACTCAGATGAAGCTTCACCTAGTCTCGGGAAGTCTCGTGATGGGAAGTCTCGTGATGGGAAGTCTCGTGATGGGAAGTCTCGTGATGGGAAGTCACTGTTACCGCCACCAGAAGTGTGCACGGTCTTGTAACTGGGGGGAATGGATCTGGAAGTGATGCTCCCGCCTCGGGTACTCGGATACGTGTAGGACTGCGGTCTTCTACCAAACTTGGGGGAAGATGGTACTCGTGGCAACGGTGGCACTCGCGGGGACGATTCAGGAGGCGGGAATTGGCGAATGAAGACGTCTCGGTCTGGGGTCATCGATCCGCTGGGGGAACGACCTCTTGGCGGTTTCGTTGAGACGAATTTCAACATTTCACAGACACATCACCATGATAGATATTCACATTATACAACTGTTATCAGTGAACCCTCCTGGTGTAACAAACACGAGTGACCCGTCCCTCCTGGTGTAACAAACACTAGTGCACTGTCCCTCCTGGTGTAACAACACGAGTGACCCGTCCCTCCTGATGTAACAAACACGAGTGCCCTGTCCCTCCTGGTGTAACAAACACTAGTGCCCTGTCCCTCCTGATGTAACAAACAATAGTGCCCTGTCCCTCCTGGTGTAACAACACGAGTGACCCGTCCCTCCTGGTGTAACAAACACGAGTGCCCTGTCCCTCCTGGTGTAACCAACACTAGTGCCCTGTCCCTCCTGGTGTAACAAACACTAGTGCCCTGTCCCTCCTGGGGTAACAAACACTATTGCCCTGTCCCTCCTGGTGTAACAAACACTAGTGCCTTGTCCCTCCCGGGGTAACAAACACGAGTGCCCGTCTCTCCTGGTGTAACAAACACGAGTGCCCTGTCCCTCCTGATGTAACAAACACTGGTGCCCCGTCTCTCCGGCCCGCTCCTTTAGCCCTTCAACACGTACAGCTGGTCACAGACAGTTAGGGCACTAGCTTGGCAGCTTCAACACGTACAGCTGGTCACAGACATTTAGGGCACCAGCTTGGCAGCTTCAACACGTACAGCTGGTCACAGACATTTAGGGCACCAGCTTGGCAGCTTCAACACGTACAGCTGGTCACAGACATTTAGGGCCACAGCTTGGCAGCTTCAACACGTACAGCTGGTCACAGACAGTTAGGGCACCAGCTTGGCAGCTTCAACACGTACAGCTGGTCACAGACAGTTAGAACACCAGTTTGGCAGCTTCAACACGTACAGCTGGTCACAGACAGTTAGGGCACCAGCTTGGCAGCTTCAACACGTACAGCTGGTCACAGACAGTTAGGGCACCAGCTTGGCAGCTTCAACACGTACAGCTGGTCACAGACAGTTAGGGCACCAGCTTGGCAGCTTCAACACGTACAGCTGGTCACAGACAGTTAGGGCACCAGCTTGGCAGCTTCAACACGTACAGCTGGTCACAGACAGTTAAAGGTCATTGCTCTCGGCGATTTGGACATGAACAAATGTTCAACAATTGTTCTTTGCTTTTAGAACCACGACTCACAGATCCTCCTCCTCTTGAAATCTCATTGATGGCTGAACAGTTTCTGCTTTAAGTTTCGCTAGGGTTGACCTAGCTTTGATCGCCCCTGTTAGACGTTTGTAGCCACCTGCTCGACCCCAGCTCCTGATTGACTTGTAGCTGGAGACTGCAAGCTGACGTCATCCATGTTGGAGATGAGAATATCAACTTATAATTAGATCTAATACATTGGAAAGCTTTGTTTGTTTCTCTCAATATTTGATTTACTTTAAGCAAACATAAACAAGCTAAACGCCGCACACTTCTACAATATCCTGGGTAAACTTATCATTGACACAAGGACTAATACACTTCTATATTATGTCACAACAAACAACTGTCTTCTAACACGTCCAAAAACGTGTCGTATTCCAACAACAGATGAGCACATCAAGTGTCTCCACCTGAGCTGAGCTATTTCACAACTAAGATAAATCTGTTATATTCTAACAGTACAAAAGATATAGTTCACCAGTAAAATAAATATGTTATTTTCTACTAGTAGATAATAAATATGTAGGTAGGCAGGTAGGTCAGCTGTACCCCAGCTTGACATCACACAAGCGATAAATACCCGGTGATTGAAAGTGCCACCATGTGGATGAGGAGCACCCGTGGAGAGGTCCCGGAAACCCCGTTCAGCCGTTAGGCCATAGTTAAGGCCCGGATATATTTACCACCCCCGGCAAAAGCCCGGGTGGAGCTTCAAATAACGAACAATCGCATCCCTCAAGGAGACGACAGTGATCCTGTTATAAACATGTTACACTCTACAAGCATTGTACAATTATGTTATTGCTACATTCTATCAGAAGGAAATAAACATATTTTGTTCTTCCCAGCAGTGCAAGATAATTATATTCTATAAAACTCTTATATAAAATGTGAATATGTAAGCAGACCGAGTGGTCTAGACGTAGAGTGTCGCCTCGAGTGCTGGACGTCCCGTGTTTAGGCTCCGGTAAAAGCTGGGATTTTTTTCACGTGGACTTTTAGTTATTTCCCCCGGTCTCTGGGTAGTAAGATTAAACGCCCGTGTGTATTGTTGAGCAAGTAAAAAATCCCCTGGCAGTTGGAAATCGAAAAGAGTAGCCTAACAGCTGCCCAGTAAAATTTGGAGTTAAAAATCTACCCAAAGTATTTCAGGATCCTCGCCGTGTAACGAAGTTGGTTCACTGAGCTGAGATTCTTCAGACTCAGGCTTGAGTTAGAAGTAAAACCAAGCACTTTTGGGTTACACCAACATAAGTCAAAAGTCAACGAGTCATTTTTTTGGGGCATATAGGGCTAGACTTATTTTTTATAGATACAATCAGCACTTGATGCGTGATCTGGTCAGCTTCAGGCGGGCCGCCTTTACTTCCCCTGTCTCCACCTAAAACTCACTCAAGACCGAGTCAACCTAGGAGCCAGTATTTTGTCTTGGGTGTGTTTTACAGTCCGGCTCCGTCAGGATCCCAAAACCCACGACCTTCCGATCCGCAGGCGACACCCCTAGTACATGTAAATATATTATAATCTACGGTACAAGATAATTATGTTGTACTGTACCAATACAAGGTAAATATATTATAATCTACGGTACAAGATAATTATGTTGTACTGTACCAATACAAGGTAAATATATTATAATCTACGGTACAAGATAATTATGTTGTACTGTACCAATACAAGGTAAATATATTATAATCTACGGTACAAAATAATGATATATTACCAACAGAAGATGCTTATTTTGGCTTATTCTGGAACCGATGTCTCTTTAGATCCGAAATGTAGAAATCGGTTCACAAAATCGAAAACGTTGAATTCGAAAACATCGACACAGTGAGACCTCCCCTGGAAATGATCTAAACATGACTGGCATGTTTGTTCTGCTGGGGGTAGGGCTGCCGTGGTTGCCAGACCCGGAGTCTTCGTGCGGGAAAATATGAAATTTGAAGAGAGCTAAATTTAAATCTGCGAGTGCCAGGTAAGCTGAGGTGAAAGCGTGTTTGCTGCTTATTTTGTGTGGTTACCTGGCCTGTCTTCTTGCTTGCTGCATTGCAGATAAACATTACCTGGTTTGTCCTGTTGCCTTCTGGGTCACCAGGTAAGCATAAAGTTATCGGGCCCCGGTGTTCTGTTATCTTTTTTTGTGCCATGAAACATTTGCCTGACTCTGGCATCTAATCCACGTTTAATGATTCCATCAGACATTCTAATACACGTGGTTCATACCAGACAAAGTGGCAGGGAGATACTACACGGGAAGGGTGAGAGTGAGTGAGAGGAAGGGAAAGTAAGGTGTGAGAGAGAGAGAGAGAGTGAGCGAGAGGAGAGAGAGTGAGCGAAAGAGAGAGAGAGAGTGTGTGAGAAGAGTGAGAGGGTGAGTGAGGGGAGAGAGAGTGAGCAAAAGAGATAGCGCGTGAGAAGAGTGAGAGAGTGAGTGAGGGGAAAGAGTCAGAGAGAGAATGAGTGAGTGGAGAGACAGTGGACGAGAGAGTACGTGAGGGGAGAGAGAGAGGGAAAGGATAGTAAGGGGAGAGAGAGTGAGGATAGGAGAGAAAGTGAGGGAGAGTGAGTGAGAAAGAGTGAGTGAGGTAGAGAGTGAGGGAGAGAGTAATTGAGAGTGAGTGAGGAAGTGAGTGAGAGAGAGAGAGAGAGTTAGCGAGGGAGAGACTTAGTGAGGGAAAGACTGAGTGAGGAAGTGAGTGATTCTGAAAGAGTGAGTGAGGGAAATAGTAAGTGAGGGAGAGTGAGTGAGAAAGAGTGAGTGAGGTAGAGAGTGAGGGAGAGAGTAATTGAGAGTGAGTGAGGAAGTGAGTGAGAGAGAGAGAGAGAGTTAGCGAGGGAGAGACTTAGTGAGGGAAAGACTGAGTGAGGAAGTGAGTGATTCTGAAAGAGTGAGTGAGGGAAATAGTAAGTGAGGGAGTGAGTGAGAGAGAGAGAGAGAGAGAGAGAGAGAGTGAGTGAGGGAGAAAACTAGTGAGGAAAGACAGAGAGAGCGAGGGAAAGGGAGACATACAAATAAAGAGATTGGCCTGTTCACACCAGGCTAAATGTTAGGGAGACGTTATAGAGACGTTCTACGATGAAGAACCAGATACATGTTAAGGAGACGTTATAGAGACGTTCTAAGGTGAAGGACCGGGTTGAATGTTAAAGAGACGTTATAGAGACAGTTTTAAGGTGAAGGACCAGACAAAGAGTGGGAGAGACTTTCGACTCAACCCGCCCCCTTCCCCCACCCCTGCCAATCGCGAAATCCCTCCTCCCCAGTAAATGTTTAGGGTCAGTGAGGCTTCCAGGCATTGTTTAAACGCACATAAAGAGAGAGAGAGAGAGAGAGGGCGAGAGAGAGGGAGAGAGGGCGAGAGAGAGGGCGAGAGGGAGAGAGGGCGAGAGAGAGAGAGAGAGAGGCGAGAGAGAGGGAGAGAGGGAGAGAGGGCGAGGGAGAGAGAAAGGGCGAGAGAGAGAGTACGAGAGAGAGAGGGAGAGAGAGAGAGGGAGAGAGGGCGAGAGAGAGAGGGAGAGAGGGTGAGAGAGAGAGAGGGAGAGAGAGAGAGGGAGAGAGGGCGAGAGAGAGAGGGAGAGAGGGTGAGAGAGAGAGAGAGGGAGAGAGGGCGAGAGAGAGAGGGAGAGAGGGCCAGAGAGAGAGACAAACAGACAGACAGACAAGCAGACAGAGAAACAGAACAAGATACAGAGAGAGAGAGGGAGAGAGGGCGAGAGATAGAGAGGGCGAGAGAGAGACAAACTGACAGACAGACAAGCAGTCAGAGAAACAAAATAAAATACAGAGAGAGAGAGAGAGAGAGAGAGAGAGACAGACAGACAGACAGAATAA